AAAAAAAAAAAAAAAAAAAAAAAAAAAAAAAAAAATCTCCTCTCAAGGCGGCGCTTTTTGCTTCTCTGTATGCCTTAGGGTCTCGTTAGACACTCCTAAAAGAATCCTAAAAGTTTTAGGACGAGTCCTAAAGGTTTTTTAGGATTTCGCGCGTCGACGTTACACGCAGTCCTAAAAATCATCTTTTAGGATTCGTCCTAAAAGGTCTCCCCTGGCCGGTTTTTATATGCATATACGACTCCGTGAACCGCGGGAATCCTAAATTTCTCAGTAGGTCGGGGGCTACTGGAAAATTGAGGATGATTTTTGCCTGGGGAATCCTAAATCCTTTAGGAGTCGTCCTAACGCTGTTTTCACATTTTGGATCTCGAAATTGGATTTAGGATTGCGTGCAACGAAGATGCAATCCTAAAAACAGGCACTTTTAGGAGTGTCTAACGAGACCCTGACTCTGTCCATGGGCCTCGCTGCACTACTCTTGAAATGCACAAAAGACAAAAATCATGACCGTGTAACGTTCCATGTTCTAGCGGAAGATTCACTCTCGTTTTGCACATTTCGAGAGTAGTGCAGCGAGGCCCCATGTCTCTCTTGCCTTATTGTCTGAAACTCTCCTCTGACGGCGGCGCTTTTTGCTTCTCTGTATGCCTTAGGGCTGGATCCCACTAGCCCCTCTTGTTCATTTCTGACCGTTGATCTTCGTAATCCATGGTGAAAAATGAATAATCCAGGGTAGTGGGATCTGACCCTTACTCTGTAAATGTCTGTCTGCCTGTCAGTCACGCAAAGCTGGCCGCGAGACGTGGGCTAGCTTTGTGTGACCGACAGGCAGACAAACAGACAGACAGAGACAGACAGACATGGACAGAGTAAGACATACAGAGGAGCTATATATAGTTTTATGGGTTCAGCCTCCTGATGAGTCAGTGAAACTCCGATGAAACAGTTTGTCACAGCCCCTCGGTTGTTGTCCTCTTCTCCCCCTCTGCCTACCGTTTACAGTAGGCAGTTTCGTTTTACCCTTCGCACCACGACTTCGCTACCGCCTTCACCCGAATAGAACGCCTGGTCATTATAGCTGCATTTGGCCCAGCTTTCAGTCCAGATGCAGCGATAATGACCGGGCGTTCTATTGGGATGAAGTAGGTAGCTCGCTGCTGTGGTCTTCTCCAGTCAGGTTGAACAGCAGTGGCCGGAGACGTCGCTATGCTGCCATGCTGTGCCTCTAGTGCCAGCAGAGTGTCTGGATTGTGTATATTCTGGCTGTGACAGACCTTTGACCTTTGTTTCGGGGGTGTTTTGCTGGATTATGATGGGTGTGAACCTGCAGCTGTAGACTTTTCCGTCTGCTGTGGGTGAGTGATAGTCTGCTTCGATTTTTGTCATAGACCCCTTTAGGTGCCCTTCGATTTTTGTCATAGACTCCTTTAGGTGCCACCTCAGGGTATCAGTTGTCCAGTAGTCCTTTATGCTTAACCGCAATCGGGGTTAAGGTGGATTATCACTTTCCATATCTTCGCTTAGAGGACTCTACAGACAGTAGAGGTTCAGCCTCCTGATGAGTCTGTGAAACTCCGATGAAACAGTTTGTCACAGCCCCCTCGTTTGTCGTCCTCTTCTCCCTCTCTGCCTCCGGTTTACCGGGTAGTTCTGTTTGACGATATGTATGTATATGTATTGTCTGGCTCTCTCTCTCTCTCTCTCTCTCTCTCTCTCTCTCTCTCTCTTACACAAAGCGGGCCGCAATCTCTGGCCGGCTGTCTGTCTGGTTGGCTGGCTGGCTGCCTCGTCTGGTGGTCGGTCTGGCGGTCGGTCCGTCGGTTCGTCCGTCTGTCTATGTCTCTCTCTTACACAAAGTGAGCTGTGATCTCTGTCTGCCTGTCTCTGTCTGTCTGTCTCTGTCTGTCTGTTTGTCTGTCTCTGTCTGTCTTTGTTTGTCTCTGTCTGTCTGTCTGTCTGTCTGTCTGTCTGTCTGTCTGTCCGTCCGTCCGTCCGTCTGTCCGTCTGTCTATGTCTCTCTCTTACACAAAGCGAGCCGTGATCCCTGTCTGTCTGTCTGTCTCTCTCCCTCTCTCTCTCTCTCTCTCTCTCTCTCTCTCTCTCTCTCTCTCTCTCT